GATTTATAACCTTTGGCCAAAAAGCTGTAAACCGTCCCAGTTTCAGAGTGAATCTCCCAGAAGGAAATAATGTTTCCTGGAAAAGATACCCTGGAAAGCAAATGTCCTCTATGGTAAGAGGGTTCCAAAAGCAACGTGTGTGGTAGGGGTCATAGGAACCTTAGAAAAGGACTGCAAAGGAACAGACAAGTCATTCAGAAAACATATACCCAGGGATTTCACAGTTTAACTTGTGAGTCCTGTAAGAGTACGTTCATCTTAACTGAAAGTGGACACATGATTGATTTGCTCCTACAAAATCAAAAGCAGAAGGACGTATGATCATCTGCAGAGAGCATAATCTTTCAAGTTCCCAAAATAATATTTTTAAATTCAGAAAGATGTATCAACACTGGTTTTGCCACCTCTACCGTCTATCTACGTAATCTCTGACCTCTACTTTCACATTCAATTTTCGTCTTTTTACATGTTTCAATTGTATACTACATAAACTATTCATGTGATTTAATAACCACTATCTGTGAGTTGGTAAAATTCGTTAACTATTTGATAACGGGAAGGAAAATCATTTAATAATCTGGTCAAAAATTAAGATAAAAGCATGTATTTTAAGAAAAATCACGTCTTTTAAAAAAGCTTTTAGCAAATAAAAAAAATTATCTTTTATATGTACTATCATCCTAACACCTTGTGTATAACCAGGTCAGTACATAAGAAAAATCAGATTTCATTTTATATTTTTTTCACTGTAATGTTTTTACCAGATATTCTAAGGAAAATCATGCATTCATTTGCTGAGTATTATTGGCTAGTATGTGCCAGGTACTGCATAGGGTTGAAATAGAATTTTCTTTCGGCTTTCCTGTCAACTAGTACTCTAATTGTCAAAATGCGACATATGAAAAAGTAAGGTTCACAGAAATAGCCTAGGATGAAAATGAATTTTATGAATTTTTACATTATAGGATTTATTTTTACATTGTTTCCTAGAATAAGCAAAGGGATTTCCTTCTTCACCCAATTAATACCTGTGAAAAATAACTATGATACCAACCTTTATATAAGATTTTTTTAGCATTTTATATTGAAACACTTCTTATATTTCCCCTTTTGGTTGGAGAGAAGAATTTTTGTCTATCTTTTTCAAAATAAAAAGAAAATTAAGAAATATAAAATGAACTAGTTTTATTTATCATATTAAATAAATGCAAATAAGATGCTTAATATTTCGGAATATAGCAAGATGTTGAATCTTTACCCACATAAAGTTCATCAAAAAATAGTGACATAGATAAAATATCAGTTTTATATTAAATATATCTAAATTGTAAAGAATTGATTACTTGGTTAATCAAGTCTTTATCACTCCAAATAAGCCAAATAATTCCTTGTAATGAATTTAAAAAACTTAAAATCTGAATCCCACCTTTACTTTAATCCAGATCTAAGTCCTGGCAGTCTGATTCCAGAGGTAAACTCTTAATAATTAGAGCTCCTGGTGCCAGTTGAGCAGGACACACATGCATGCACACTTGTGCACACACCTACTCAAGCTCACATACAGCACGTGACCTATGCCCCTATAGATACATACACTCAAAGGTGGAGAGGCAACTGAGAGAGTAGGAGAGCAGAGTTTATTACTCTATTCTTTCCTCTTGGTTCATGTTTTTTCTCCTGTATATTTCACTTGTTAACCTTTAAATCCAAATTTCCGTTTAAATGAAAGCTATTCAAATTGAGTAAAAACATCTGGAGTTATTTTCAAAATAGTAACATCAAATTAAAAATTATTACTGGATAAAATAAATGTTGTAGAAGTATGTAGAATTATGCCAATTTACTTTAAACAAAGAGAATAAAACAGAAACACTTTTACTGAACTGAACCAATGTGCCCGAAGAAATGTTCGTTAGTCTACAGAGAAAAATATAAGAACATTTTCTGGCCAAATATCCAGAAAAGCATAGCAAGTTGACATTTAAACTATTTACTTGGAAAGAACTTTGAAATCAATAGAAAGGCATCATAAATCATGATTTATGATTCACACCTCTAGCAAATGAAGATAAATTTGTCACTAGGAATTTTTCTGCATTAATTATCTTGGTTCTAACACATAGATACTATATTACATTCCTATGTATATTATCATTATGGCCTTTGGAAAAATGCTTTAAAAATATTGATTGCTACAGGTAAGTCCACATAAATTCTAATTCCTATATTAATGTGATACACCAAATCTATATGAATAAAAATAAATATTAATGTCTTAAATATCATATCCTTTAAAACATGTAACAAATTCAATTAAAAGTAAAACTATTGAAAGTAAGACTTGAACTCTTCTATATTAGGGTCCTGAATACTACTTTTAGTAAAGCTGTTACTCTATAAACATTTATTAAATTATATGTCAATTCAAAAAGTAATTAAATCCAGAAGAAAATTTTGCTAAAAGTCTCCCTCAGCCTTAAAAGACACTGTTGAAAAGAATACTTTTCATAAACTTGCAATGAAAAATTGAGACATCCTTCCACAAAACAGTATAAAAACCATGAATATTATACATGGTTTTATATTTTAAATTACCCCGTAGTTTCACAACAGTAATATATATCCAGCAAGAAGAATAGGAAAAGAAACAATTTCCTAAAAGGGTCATAACTACCAAGAAATTCTGGGCAAGAAATTCTTGACAATAAATTTCACATGGAAGATACAGAAAAAGAGTGAAGTAAAGCAATGTCAAATGATATTCCGTATCACTTCCAGAGTCAACATGCTTTACACAAAATAATTTTATTTCCTTTATTTTTTTCAGCTACTCTTCTTGTGTCTTTTCTATTTAAATCGCTTAAACCAAACTCTAGTAATATTATTTCTGGCACTTTTCAGAATCCATCTCTTTGTTCCAACCATACACGCAAAAAAAAAAAAAAAAAAAAAAAAACCATAAAACATGATGTCATCCACTTTCTTCTTCTCTATGCTTACGAAAATCCAAGAAACTTATCCTATAGAGATTTATTTTCCACTATGAGTCTTGTACAATCTCACTTGATATAGCCAAAAGCCAAGATGAGCTTAAAGAGCAGTCAAATAGCTGCATTATTTTATAATAAAATATATCCCCCATCACTTCATAAACTTTATATTATATGCTATGTTTTCAGTAAAACTATAGCTTTTTTAAATTCATTTAAAAATTCACTGATGAGTGAAAATCTTCCAAAGGGAACAGAATTTGCATGGTTGTATAGAGAAATAAATATTATTTATTATGAAGTAACAAACAAGGCCCATATGAGGGTTGGTTAATAGATGAAAGAGAGGTGATTTCTGAACAACTGAACAACTGACAGTAAGTGGGAGGTGGTTCACAAATATATTTTGGAACATCATTTTAATTGTTTGAGTCATTTCTAATTACCAAACTCAAGGTTAGCTGAATGTTAGTAGGTTTCAAACTTGACTTCTAAGGTGGACAAAGTTAAATATTTACATTTGTTGACAAGTGTTTATATTTTCAAAGACGATGAAAGGGATTTTCATATCCTATCTCCTTAAGAAAAATAATCATAACTATCTATGTAACAGAGCTAACTAACCAATACCCCAGTCATTGTTCAGGAACAAATATAGCAGTTTGCATGAAAGTTGTTAAGTGAAACTTCATTCTGTGATCATTTATTTTGACACGTAAACTATGTTAGACTATAGTCTAAGTTATTCCGTCAAATACTAATCTCGTTGTTGCTATGTAGATACTTTGAGGAAGTCATAAAATTCTATAATCAATTTACTTTCAGTAAAGTTTATTTTAGATAATCTGAGTGATCTTGATTCAACTAGTTGAAAGAAAGTTTTTTTTTTTTTTTTTTTTTTAGACGGAGTCTCGCTCTGTCACCCAGGCTGGATCTTGGCTCACTGCAACCTGTGCCTCCCGGGTTCAAGCAATTCTCTGCCTCAGCCTCCAGAGTGCTGGGAATACAGGAGCCTGTCACCACACCTGGCTACTTTTTGTATTTTTCATAGAGACAGGCTTTCACCATCTTGGCCAGGCTGGTCTTGAACTCCTGACCTCGTGATACATCCACTTCGGTCTCCCAAAGTGCTGGGAATATAGGCATGAGCCATCGTGCCCAGCTGACAGTTTTGCTTTTCAAAAGCAGAAATGAGGCTTCCTTGAGAGGAGAAATTCTACCTGTGTACTGCAATTTCAGTTCATGACAAGAGTTTTAGCCTGCCCTCCCAGCTGGGCTGCCCTTCAGATTTCATACTTGCCTAACCAGAATGCACAATCATACTAAACCAATTCTTCACAATAAGTCTCTTGTTATATATCGTTTACTTGCTCGACTCCTCTAGTTGAACACTGACTGATGCAATTATAAATTGAAAAAAAAAAAAAACACACAAAACTAATAATGGAAAAGAAAAGGAAGTTGCCATGATTTGGGACACTCTACCCAGGCTGTGTCTGCATATGCCAAAAGACTCAAGCCAGACAAATAATACATGTATGTGCATACACACACACACACACACACACATCAAAAACACTATGTTCCCAAACCTCAAACTCCTATGTTTAACAGACCTGAAATTTTTGACAGACTTAATTAATCAAAAGTATCAATGAAAGATAACTACACGACAGGAGACTACGACTCAGTAGCACGTTCTAAATACTGAAGTCATTTGTAGAAGAAAGTAGCCATGCCACATTACTTACACCAAAGACATTTCACACTGTGATACAGAACAACAATCTTTAGAAAGCAAACAAAATATGTCACCCAAAAGATGATAGACATTGCTTGTCCAAGCAAAAGAAGAGTGGTTTTAATTTCCATTACACAAGTCAAATAATCCCATCACACTGATACAAGTAACGTGAGTATGTTTTTCAAACTCATGGACAATAATTTTTTAAAAACAAGTTATATCTACACAAACTAATTGGAAACACATTCCCTACTTCCTTTCCTTACCTGGACTGCATATCTTGTTGGGTTTTGGCCTGGCCAGCTTCCGATGGAGGGGAAGCGTGAGTAACTCGCTGCTGAAGTTCCACCAAGGACTGGTAGTACTGTTGTTGATGGTGTTGTTGCTGCTTGTAGCGAGACAAACTGAAAAACAGCCCTAGAATGGCTTTTAAGTTTCCATTTCTTATTTCTGTATGAAATGAAAAATACAAAAGAAGCATCGTATGTATTCAGTGTCCTTTTTAACAAACTCTAGATGCAATCCTCTTGAACTAAATCTGTGAAGATAGGGATACAACTTAATTCTGTCAGTCACAGTTGAGTCACAAACAATCCTGAATTTCTGAAACATGTTAACATTTCCAAATACCTTGGAATTTCAGGGAGAGAATCAAAGGATAGAGGGTAAAAAGAACAAAGCACGCTCAGAAGTGATATTCTTTGCTGACCTTGAACTACAATTTTTCTCGAGTTAGCTGCTGCTTAGAAATAAATGAGCTCTCTCTTGTGCTAACCATTTGATGTAGCACGTTGTTTTCCTCACAAATACACACAGCTGTTGCCAGCATAGCAGTAGCTACGAACTGGAGAAAGAAAGCCACTGAAATGTTGGTTGTCCTGCATTTATAAATATTGATGACATGGGTGCACCTCGTAATACCAACTGGATTCGTTGCAATCAACTTTCTTTCTAAATCACCCACTCACCAACTCATTTATACATACTTATGTATGTATATATCTTCCAAACATATATCCATATATATCAAAATATATATGTGTATGTATATCTTCCAAAAAACAGACATAATATCAATTTTTAATGTTCCAATTTTATTTTTAATTTATGCTATATATTAATAAATAATGAAGATTAGCTTATGTTAGATAACATAATTGAATAAGTAGAAATCCTTGTTCTAACAGATGAAGTTCCTGTGTAAGATTTTCAACTATTGAATAAAAAAATTAAATTCACAATGTAGGCTACACATAAGCCTACATTTTTCTCCTGTAGTTATAACTTAAAAAATAGGAAAAGAGAAGGAAGTAAAGCTTGAAAGTAAGCTACACAACCTGTAATCATATTTTAAATAAAACTTGCTGTTGGCAATAAAATACATCCTGCTCTGAGATCAAGGCTTTATGTCCCCTTTTGGAGTTTAGGAAAATTAACCAACTCTTTGGATTTCTTGATCTCTGATGGTTTATCATATAACTCAAACTATGCAGTAAAATAATTAATGTAAAATGACCCTCTGAGTTGTTCTATTTCCTCCCCAAACACTTCTCATAGTTTCTGTCATATTGAAGAGTTGGCTTATCAATCTGAGGCTACATTGAGAGAGTGTTAATATTCTCCTATAAACCTGAAAGATTTTGTTTAAAAAGTTTTTAAAAAATTATTGTCTTATTATTTTGCATGTTTAATTTAGAGAGTAAATTTTGAGCATTCATATATTTTTAAAAGATGAATGAAAATCAATAAGCTTATATTAATAAAGGTTTTTGTAAGGAAGAGACACACAAAATGAATAAATAGCAGCAATTCTAGCCTGCCTTTAACTACTTAGCAACATATCATCCTGGGGAATTTTATTCAAATGTTATTCTAAGTTACAGAACTACCAGTTAGGTTTGAACCTGAGCTTCTTGGCCATTGAATGTGTAATTTAATTATATATTATAACATGTAAATATAAAAGAAATTTAAATATCAGGGTTCTCAAGTGTGGCAAATTTTATCTTATGTGTGGCAAGCGTTTGCCAACTTTTGCCACCTTTTTATGTGAAAGTAAAATAAACTCAGAAAAAGATAAACATCAAAACTTATTCAAGTTTTCCCCATTTTGCTATCTTTCAATTTTAATGATGATCTTTTGAATCTTTAATGATTTAAAACATTTATACATAACAGTGATTAATGCTGTTAGTTCTAATTATTTAATACTTCATAGTGACTTATTTAAACTAACCAACTATTTTGACTATTTCTACCAACTTGAATAGATTATAGAAATGGTATTAACAAAATAATATTAAGACTTAATTAAAATATTTACCTGTATTTATGTCATCCAATATTTATCTAATTATCTATTAATCTACTTAAGAAATCTAATTATACTATAAACTAGTAATAACATAAAGATGTTTTGTTGATTCACTCTTCTCCCATATAGTTGGTTATGAAAAGAATAGTTCTGGCAAAATATGGAAAACATTTAAATACTGAAAGCACATAGTAATAACCATTATGTTTATGTTTCAGTTGTCTTGAAGACTTCATCAATTTCTTTTATCATATTAAGGAGCCGTATACTCCAATGTTACATTTCTGACATTATAAAAAATAATTTAAATACACTAATGCCATTTGTGACAATTCAGTCATTCTTTTTCTTACCTTCAGCAGATAGACCTTGAACATTTACCCCTCTGGCTGCTAGAAAACTAAGGCAGACATCAACATTTTCAATCTGCAACATGAAAAGCAGTGAAAAAGCAACTTAGGGGATTGTATTTTAACAAATGCATGTGCCAAAATGAAACCAGAAAGAACGATAAAGAATGAATAGTTTACATTCATTTCATACTAGAAGTCTTAACCAGACTTTAACTAGAATTATTTTGGCTAATTGCAGAATGAATATAAAGCTTTCATTGTCCAGCTGGTACTTACAAACAATTCATAAAGGCCTGATCAAGAATGGCATTCTTGCAGATTAGCAACCCACCTACTTAACATAAAACTGGATCTTGTACTTTGCAAATAAGTCCCAGTGAAAGCATCCATACAGACTGAGATTGTTGCATGTGTGTCTTAGAATGTTAGGATGTGGGTAATTTAAATTCAATCAGCAGTATTTGTTAAGTACGTCAAAAGATACATAGATGGAGAAAGGATTGATACAATATGAAAATGAAGATACTTTCATCCTAAACCTAGCAAATATTTATTTTAAAAATTATATTTGTATTTCTAGAGGTGAATAATCTGCTGATTAAATATAGGTGTTGTCTTTGCTATTTTAAAAGGGTGATTCCCGTAGTGCATTTTGTTGGTTTGTTTTTGTTTTTGATTTTGAGACAGAATGTTGCTCTGTCACACAGGCTGGAGTGCAGTGTTGTGATCTTGGTTCACTGCAACCTCTCCCTCCCGGGTTCAAGCGATTCTCCAGCCTCACCCTCCCAAGTAGCTGGGACTACAGGCGCACACCACCATGCCCGGCTAATTTGTTATATTTTTATAGAGAGGGGTTTTGCCATGTTGGCCAGACTGGTATCGAGCTACTGTCCTCGAATGATCCACCCGCCTCAGCCTCCCAAAGTTTTAGGATTACAAGCGTGAGCCACTATGCCAGGCCCCATGACTTTTAAATAGTTGGTTTCAATATGATTACCAGTTTACAATCATTTGGGGTGAGAAGAAAAAAACAATTGATCATGGCATTATATAGCAGTGACACAGCTAAGATTCATAAGAGTATAGAAAGCTAAAAACTTCCAATTCTTTGTGATCTGTCTCCCTGGATTTGGGAGTATTCTATAAATATTTACATTACAGTAAAGATGAGATTTAAAATTAATAACTTGGCAAGGAACTATTGTCTGTCTTACTAAATTCTCATCAAAAGCTGTGCATGAGGACACACACACAGAGTTCTGCCAATGTCCTCCCTAGCTTAGCTTCATAGTAAGGTCAAAATGGCTCTTAAAGAAAATAAAATGAAAAAAATAGATTCAAGAATCTATCCTTATAAAATAGAGAAACTATTTCTGTTCCTTTAAAATAGTAATTTTGTACAAAAAATGATAATATACAATGATATGCTTTTTCCTTAAAAATGACCACAGACAAGATATACTCGTTTATTTTCAGGAAAAAAAGTCTTATATTAATTAACTTCAAAGTAAGTTTTACTGAATTTATTCTACTGAATAAATAATAGAGTTGAACATGCTGAATATAACATAATATAATAAATCTTATTGTTCTGCCGATCAGCATCTGAATATCCAAAGAGGTGATAGTGCTGAAACATATATTAATTCTTTCCTTTCTTCATATTTCATTCTGCTACTAGCTATAAGATTATATAAAGAAGGAAAGGAGGAGGAACAATAACAAGGAATGAGGCAAACTGGATGTTCTCTATCCATCCACAGTGTTCTTTTAAATGTATTTCTTTCAGACCCACTAAAAATTAGTAAAAGAAAGATGCCAAATAATTATTGTGGCCTAATATTAAGAAGGATAATGTGATGTAATATTTTTAAATGTTTGCAAGAGCAGTCCTAAAGTTCTTGATTTCAATGCAATTATATGCTTTTTATAGAAAGAAGGAAGATTTCACAAAATGTTAATAGGATATTATTACCTAAAATTTAGTTACTTATATTATACATGAACAGGTTAGCTCACTGAAAATCCAGAAAAGGTTCATCGAGTCTGTAGCTAAGTTTGTAAGATAATTTTTTGTCTGCCATTTAACCAGCATATAAAATAAACTGATTCCTAAATTGGGAGTTAGACACAACTCTCTCTCTCTCATCTTGCACCACAATCAGAAGGGGAATGTAAAAGAGAAGAAGGAGAAGAAGGAGAAGGAAAGAAAGAAGAAGGAGAAGAAGGAGGAGCAGGGGGGAAGAGGAGGGAGGAAGAGGAAGTGGGAGGGGGAAGGAGAAGGAGGAAGGAGAAAGCAAGAGGAGGAAGGAGGAAGCAAGAGGAGGAAGGAGAAGGAGGAGAAGAAGGAAGGAGAAGGAAAGAGAAGGAAGGAGGAAGAGAAGGAAGGAAGGAAGGAAGGAAGGAAGGAAGGAAGGAAGGAAGGAAGGAAGGAAGGAAGGAAGGAAGGAAGGAAGGAAGGAGAAGGAGAACGAAAACAAACGATAATACATTCTTTTTTATTTTCAAATCTATTTATCAGGAGCATTCAATCATTTTTACTATTCTCTCATAGTCATTCATTATGAGGACTGGCAATTTATGATAGTTATGTTCCCCATTATTGCCTGAGTAGCCAGGTACTAGCAACAGAATAAGTACTTGAATACAGTTTTCAATATGACTATTAAAGGCTAGTTCATTAAAGCTCATTTATTTATTCAACATTTATTGCTAAAATTAACAATTTACCAAAATTTATTTTCTCACAGTGTATCAGCATAATAAACATGACTTTCAAGAAAATAATACCTTTTCCCCACTTAATTCTTGTCCTTCTATAAATTCAATCACATTTGTTAGTACATACCAGGCTATACGTTTTATAGTAAAAAGAAGTGGTTTTAACTTGTTAAATGTCATTTATATGGTCGCTTTCTCACCAGAGTCATACTTTTGAGTGGATTTTTTAATGATAAAATAATATTCTCTGGTTAATAATTTTATTTCAAGAAATTCTAAAGATTTTATCATTCCTGTTTTTAATATAGATTTCCCCTAAATATCTCTCAGTTATTATAAATAGACCTAGTACAAACACCATTTTAATTGCTTTTTTCCATATTAAATGTCAATTTTTCTATAAACTAAAAACCTCTAAAACTTTTTGGTAACTTACAAATAAATAAAAGTTATTTTACCACCAAATTGAGCCAAGTAATTATAAGCTGTTTTATTTTCCTTCATTATTGTTTGAATCGGATGTCAAACAAACAATCAAAATTCAAATCATATTTTAACACCAAAAATTTGGGTGAAATTTTCATTAGAATAACTTCATGTACCTTAATATTTTCTAGAATATTGACTGTAACCCACAGCAAGAAATAAATTGAATAGCACAACCCAATATGCTTATACATAATTATAATGGAGTCAAAGTTTCATGGAATAATACTTTACCTTACTAAATACAGGTTACTGTGATGCTTCCTAGTGCACTGTACTGTCTTTTGTTTAGTCTATTTAGATGTTGCTTAAAATCTACTAGATGGATTTCAGGGTCCATTCATGGATGGTAATCCATTATATTGAAACACTGCCCTAAGAAGACCAGGGCATTGCCATGCCTACATTGACTGTTTTCTGGTGGGGTTTGTAGCAGGTGGTGTGCAGTAGGGGGCGTATTCAAGGGTAGCAACAAGGGTAGTGAAGGGACAGTGAAGGTCATGAGAAATGGTCAGATTCTGGATGTTTTCTGAGATAAATTTATGGGAAGATATGGCATTTGAGAGAAAGAGAAGAGTCAAGAATAACTCCAAGGTTTTGGTCTTTAATCACAAGAAGGATGAAGTCTCTATCCACTGAGATGGAAAAGATCATGAATGGAAGTAGGAAGTTTCTTTTTCGACAGGTTTACTGGTCCATCAAACATTCAAAAGGAGATGGTTAGTAGGCAGTAGGACACACAATCTGGAGTTCAACTGAGAGGTTGGAGTGAAGATCTAAATTCAAATTTTTTAGTGATGTGAATGAAGTCTTGAGGGTGATTATCAACAAAAGTGTATAGACATAAAAGAAGAGGAACAAACATTGAGCCTTAGGAGATTATCACTGGAAAGAAGAGGAGGAACCAACAGAGAAGAGTGAACAAAGCCACCGGGAAGTATGAGGAAAATCAGGAGAGGATGGGGTACAGAAAACCACCTGAAGAAAGTATTTTAAGGACAAGGGAAAGATGAGTTCTATCAAAAGCTGCTAACAAGTCATGTAATACAAGAGCTAAGAGTTGACTATTAGATTTAGAATTAAGTAAATTAACGAAAGGTGCTCATAATAGTGCTTATCAAATAGCAAATGCTCAAATATCTAAATTAAATACTAAAGTATATCTTATAACATTATACACAAATTAAATATTAAAGTATATGGTACATATTACGTGTGTGTGTTTGTAAGTGTGTAATGTATTCATAGAGGACCAGCCAGAATATAAGCTTCATGATGGTTCTTTTTTATTCTGTCTATACACTCTCCCGAGTCTATTTAAATCATATATATAACATATATGTAATATGCATTATTATATAACATATATCACATATATTACATTACATGTATGCAATATATTGTATATAATTTAATAATACATTACATAACATGTAATATATTACATATATAGTAATATAAAGATATGTAATATGAAGATATATATTACAGATATGTAATATATAATATACACTTTAATGCTATACATTACATATAGTAATATGTTATGAAAGTATATATTTTAGTTAATATATTACATACATATCTTATACATGTAATATATACATATGTTATACATATATCACATGTAAGATATATATTATGTATACACAATATATTAAACATATCATTTTATATTAAATATTAGTATATTTAATATATTACATATATGTATATGTGTAACATATATATGTGTATATTGCATATATCATACAGATATGTAATATATAGCATATACTTTAATATTATTACATGCATAGTAATATGTTATTAAAGTATACATTATGTATTTAATATATTACATGTCTTATACATGTAATATAAACA